AGAGCTTCTGTTTGCACTAGTGACATTCTTCTTTTATAAGAAAAGAATGTACTCACTGTAAATAACCACGGGGGATCACAATATTTATGATTGTGACATGGAATACAAGTGTGACAGCGTGTGTCAAAAGAAATACTTCCACAATTATTCCCCAAATACATTAGGTTATAGAAATTGTTTAACTTAAGAGTAGTTTCCTAATAACATGACCTTTCTTTGATACAACATACTGCACAAGGTTTCTATAGGGCAATCTCATTTGCAATTTAATAAATAAATTAAAACAAAAACAAACCCAAGACACCATCAACGAAAGACAAACAACATCCAAAAAAACCCAAAACAAGCAAACAAACAAACAAAAAAATCACTCTTTGTGCAATCCAGGCCTCTGCTAAACACAGCAATCACGTGAAGACATTTCAGTGAAGACGAACTATAAACAGGCTCGCTGGATAAAAATGAATATGTCACACAAGTGCACTGAAGTCTGATTTAAAACAAGTATGAAGTTGGAGACTCCAGTCCTCTACAGATATTTTATGTCAAGAAACAAATGTGTATAACTTTAACAAATTTGGAAGGCCTCAGTACTTACCCTGACTACACTGAAGTCCAGTTTAGTTTCTTGTGCACACTGTAATATGAGCTGAAAGCAATTTTTACTTTGATTTGTCATTCCATTTTCATAATAACGCTGTAATATCCTTTGTTGTTCTACAGTAAATACAGAACGCAGATTCATCTAAAAATAAAAGAAGATACTCTGAAAGTTGGAATAAAAACTGTAATACTTGCAGAAAGCACAAGCTCTCATTTATGCTTGTCGTGATAACACTAAGTGTTGACATGTTTTCTTTACAGAGTTGTTTACCAACACTTTTACTTACTTTCCAAAAAAACCTGTTACAGCCAGCATTAGTGATTCCTTTGTGATGGACTCAAGTTGAACAGGTGAACTACGTATTTGGAACAACACTGACAGCCTTTCATAAATAAAATAAATATTAAACTGTGTTGCTAACTCCAAGAGCCTCTAGTTTCAAACAAAACGTTTCTCCCTTTAAAAAAAAAAAAAAAAAAAGAGGCATTAGGCAAAACAGAGTAACACCAGCAGCTCCAATGATATTGGCACGTCTGTTTCCCCTCCCCTATCAAAAAAAGAGACAAAATCTGAGATAAAACCACGGTGACAGTTTGGCACGAATAAAGTTTCCAGCACCTCCGAGTTCAGCAAACCCTACATGCCATTGTGGCTGGTCATGCTACTCCTCCTGCGGTGTCGGCACCGGCACTTCCAAGCTGCAGAGTCACAAAGATCAAGGACCAGAACTGTCATCACAGGAGTTCCAGAACAGGGCCTTTATTTTTGTCCCAAATGGGACGGGGCCACCAGCTGAGACACCACAAGCACTGGCCAGGAACAACTTGCATCCGCCTCCGTGTCTCAGAAAGCAAAAAAAAGTCACCAGCTACAAGTCATTTTCAATATTTTCAGTACAAGTATAAAAATAACACTGAGCAAACTAAAGGATAAGGAATCATACCACCTTCTTGTAAGAAAATCAAGGGAATGCAGGAACTCTTTGTAGTTACTAAGCTTTTAGTTACTCTTTTTGCAAATTTTGCATGGAGAGTAGTAATACACTTAATCTTTGCACAAGAACTGCTTCTAATTTAGAGCAAATAAAATTATTAAGGGCTCAAACACATTAGCAGACACCCAACTCCTTTCACACGATTAGTCAAGATGATTATAGTACGTAATGGTAACGGATATTAGAGTTCGACAGGCCTCTATAAAGAGAAAGATTAATATCTAGAATTTGGAGTAAAATGCTTGTAGGCCAGAGCTTTGACTTCAGAGTCTACCTTCCTCTATATGTCAACATACAACAGAAAAATCACTACCTACCAATTTGTAAAAAGTACCGTTTTCAATAACGCTTAAAAAAGACGACCATTTTTCAACCCCATTTTTATCTCTGTTCCAAATTCGTATTCATCCTCTGGATCCAGCGCATCACTAACCGCAGCGCGACCAGCGGCGCTGCAAGCCGGGCTCTGCCAGGTGATGCCTCCCCCAGAACGTGCACTCAGCCACAGAGCTGGGCAAAGCAGACTCTTGCTCTGAACACTCCACTGTTCAAAGAATTTATAGCAAGTGACGAGAGGAGATAATTATTGGCCTATTAACAAATCAATGAAGTTCATAAAAATCTACTTTATAAAGTTAAGAACTGTCCTCAGATCTCCCGGGTGGATATGCACAACGGTGCAGTCACCAACTGATTTCTGTCACTTTTCAAGAACACGTAAGAGTTAATTTTGTGCTTCTTTTTCCTCCTGCAGGATTGGCAGGACCCAGCTTACACTTCTGCCTACTACTCTTTCAGTACCAGTGGTCCTGTTCTATTTAGTTGAGATCCGTTCCCACAAACGACCTCCTCAGAAATAGTTATGAACCTTCTCTCTTTCCAGATCCAGATGAAGTCTGTCATCCATCAACTCCAGCATTTCTACACACAGGCTCATTACAAAGCAGCATGCTCTCCAACCAGTTCATCAGCTGCGACGACGACTCCTCCAATCGCAAGAAAAATTTTTAGAATCAGACTTGACCTGCAAGCTAAGACCTGTGTCAGGTCCTTGACGTATTTTTTAATTATGTGGATTTCTGTATCCAAAGTGACTTCTGTGTTAAAACACTTCTTTTGTCATATTTGACCAGTTTGGATTAGGACAGGGTGGAGCATTTTGATGAAATCTTTTTGATCTTCAGATAACCCTATATGCACTGCATGACAGACTTCACCTTGCTAAGCTCAGGAGAGGTCATGGACTGGTTTAATAAATAACTCATTTTCCCAGTTTCTTTTAATCACTGGTAGGCTACACCTGCCAACCAAAATACTAGTAAGATTCCTCAGTGACTTCTGCCTTGAATCTAGTCAAGTACAGCTCGGAGCGGGTGTGCAGAGGCCACCAGAAACTGATTTAAATAGATTGCAGGGCCCTACAAACACAGAGTTATAGAAGCTCAGTCATCACTTGAGTTTATATTCCAACACCTAAACTTTCAAATAAGCAGGTGAGAATTTATTAATACTTTTTGTGGTTTAAATTTACTGAATACTAAGTCAATAGACGGTTCTGTACCATTTCCCACTGCCCCACCTGCCCACACAAACATTTACCAAAACTACAGAAGGGACATTAAAATATTTTTTAAATACTGTTAGCTCTCCTGCTATGTAAACCAATCAAACATTCATTCTGCTCTGCCAACTAATTAAGCCTTTTTTTTAAAAAAAAAAAAAAAACAACAACTGCCTTTTACCAGAGGAAACAGAAATTTTGGGGTAAATTGCAGAATAAACCAGAACACACGCCTGCTCTGCCAACTAATTAAGCCTTTTTTTTTTTTAAAAAAAAAAACACACCTGCCTTTTACCAGAGGAAACAGAAATTTTGCGGTAAATTGCAGAATAAACCAGAACACACACATAACATTCAGCAGGGCTATGCAGGCAACTACATCTGCCCAACAGAAAACTTGGTTTAAATTCTACTCAAGCTACTAAACTCAAAGCAAACTAACCAAACCACAGGTCCACTACAGCAAGCCATTCTATTACACCCCATAATACTTGGAACTACACTACAGTTCCTCGGTATGACACGTTTATTGACAAATATGAAGCTTCAGACAGCATAGAAGTGATAGGGAACCTCAACATACAGTGCTAGTGCCTGGAGCACAGCCCCAAGACGCTCATCCTGCCCCTAGGCACCTGGGTGGGTTTTGGGCAGCTGTTGGGCACAGACGTAGGACAATCTCACAAGACACGTGCTCTGGTCACTGCTGGGCAGGAAATCTGATTTCACAGCAAGATCTTAGATCACACAGAACAAGAGAAAGGAAATTAAGAATCATACTTTCTTTGCTTTTTCACTTCCTGCAGGATTATTTCTAACTAGGTATAAAAGATCACAAGGTTACTATTAGTAGTAGAAATAGCCATAACAATCTCCAATCATTCAATCTCGGTGTCATAGGACAGAACTGGCACGCTGACTTCACACCAGCGTGTAGGACGTTTGGCAATATTCCTTCTCTCCTGCTGATAGTATGTCACCCGGAAAGTCCAGATGGAAATCAGTTTGCTGTCACAGCTCTAAAGGGTTTATTTTTAATATCTAAACCAGCACTCTGTGTTGAATAAACCAATTACCGACTGTTTGGAAGCTCCACTAGAAAGTCATAAAGCCCAGGAAGTGCTGACTCTGCATGTCTCGTGTTCACAGGTACCAAGTTTTGCTCACTCTCCACACCTGTCAGACCTACTATTTCTATACATCAAGCCTTCAAACACCTAGGAGAGCATAATGTTACTGTCTCTGAGACTCGAATAACACAGATTGATATTAGATTCAAAGGTTTTACAGTTTTCTTGTGTGGTTTTTTTTTTTGAGAAGTGCAAGTATGAAAACTGATGCTAAACAGGTTATACAAAACAAGATACTAATTCTTACATTTTCTCTAACATGGGAGATCCCCGACAGTCAGTGGAAACATAAACAAACCAGAGATAACTTACAAAGTGCTGACATTACTAAGTAGTAAAGTAGCTGAATAGTATCGAGGGAATCAGCAGGTCGTACTCCTGCATAGTAGGCTCAGTACTATTCAGAACAATCGCAGAAACTTCAAGGGAAATAAACTCCTTTTCCCAATTTATGTACCTACAAAGCACTCCAGTTTCTTCAGGATTTGTCACCTTTGTCTTGAATCTCAGACTCCGAGTTAGAAATGTAGGTGGATTTTTATCATAATTTCATTTTGATCTCCTCTTGCCAAGCTCGGAAAACACAAATTTGAGCTTTTGAGAAGCCACGTGTCCAGCTGGTTGGCCACACATGGGCATTGAAAAGAGAGTTTATTACTAAAAAGAACTCTGTGAGACCCAAATTCAGGCAAAGCAATACGGAAATGGAAATTCCATGAACATAAGTTTTTTTCACTTCAGTAAAAGACAGGGGTGGCAAAGCAGCGTTTTTAAGGATTCAAAGCCTTAAAATATGCTAATTCTGCTAATAAAATAAGGTAGCTTTGGCCAAGTATGTTGCTGTCTCTGCGACAGTGCAGAGAATAATCTACGACAAACGAAAAAGCAAGTACTTCCTTCACCCCTGCTTTGTGTCCTAGGCAAACTAACATCATTCAGCTTTCCACTTTGGTGGTCTCCCACTCAGCCTTCTGTAAACCCATCGAGATAAGGACATGGCTCTTCACTGCCTTTCTAAACTGAGTATTAATTTTAAAGATTCGTTATAGTGGCACAGAACCCCTTCTCCAGATGTGGTGGTTCAGGAGACATAAACATAGTCCAGGTGTCAAGTCAGGCACTGGGGACACGAGAGATCTAAGCCTGGTAGGATGGGAACTCCACGCCCCTCAGTTTCTCCAGAACTGCTGAATATGAGCCTCACCAAGGACAATCCTGCTAATCCTGTCACCCCGCTGCCACGTCGGACAAGATTAGGGTTATTCTTACGGCTCAACTTCTTTAGCTGCTTGAGCAACTTTTCCCACAGCATCCCCCCTCCCTCCCTTTCCGTGGCAAAAGTGAGCACAAGTGGAGAGGGGAGAACAAGGAAGAACTAAAGCTCAGTTTGCTTCTGAAGTAGGAGTGCATTTACTTCACGAAACGGGTACTTAATGTAAGAGTTATCCCACGCAGTTTACTGCAAATGCCTACTCCTTCCACTCTAGTTACTTTATTCAACATCCAAAATTAAGAATCTCTCCAGGGAGACCTGGTGAAGCTCAGAGAAGTATTTTTAGAAACTAATGAAAACAACTTGGTGTCAAGGAGTGCCACGAAAGAAAGAGCAACAATAAGAAAACGAGAATAATCCTGTAACAATAATCCCCTGGTTAAAAAAAAAAAATTAAAAATATATTTTCAAGAGTTACTTAGCTGTTCCGCAATGACTACTTGAAAGATCTGGAGAAAAAAAA